TCTGATCTTTTCTGTTGGACACATTTGATCAGGGGATAGCGGCTCCCGTAGAGGGGCGGGTTTAAGCTCACCTGTTCACCTGGGCTTTGTGAGAGGAAGCGAGAGGGGGTGAGCTGGGTCGCTGTATTTTCTGTCGACCGCTATTTCGCTATGATGCTATTTTGCTTGATTGCTTTGATTTGGAGTTTTGCATACGTTCATATGAGGCACTGATCGTGTTTTCCTTTAATTAAAGGCTAAACCTATTTAAAACTTATCTCAGTGAATTATGATTGAATATCAGACAGAGAGACCCGGTCTCAGTCTGTCAGCGACACCAGGACTCGGATGACGCTAAACAGTGTGTCCTGCATGAGCAGAAAAATGTCCAAAAGTAAAAGAAGCTTCGTCTGAAATCACTCAAAATTATTTAAAAACTAAAAAAAGAATAAAAAGAAATTGTCCACATTGATTCACAAAGTGACTAAAACGACCCCAGATTTGTCCAAAATGTCAAAATTTACAAAAATCTGCGCAAAATAACTCAAAACTTTTTCAAGATGAAATAAATTTATCTGAAATGAGTCCCAGCGTGTCCAGAGTCAGTGAAACATCTGGAGGACTTTATGTTGTGGTTAAAATGAAGCTGCAGTCAGTAGAAATGTGACATCAGATGTGACGGAGCCGCAGCTGAGGTGACGTCACATCAGCGACCTTCGTGGTGCCGGAACCAGACTGGAGCTGAACGTGTTGGATGCACCAACGGGAGCAGAAGATCCTGGACCTGCAGTCAGACAGCTGCTGGGTCTGAGGACGTTCTGGCCTCCTCTGCTGCTGTTCCAGCATCCTTCAGCTCAGAACATAAAAGTTAACGGCGCTAACGTCACAGTTCTGCCGATAAAACGTTTAATTTAGCGCCGCTAGACGTCAGGAAGTTACTGTGCAGCAAATCTCAGCTCGTTGTTCCGCCGCTGATTTGTAGCTTGGATTTTATTGGACCTGTTCAGAACGTTCTGCTGCAGAAGATGGAGGAGATGTATACATGCAGACCTGAAAACGTTACTAGAACTTTCTCAGACCGTTTTTGGAGTTTAATAGAACCCAGCTGAGGAACCTAACATGTTCTCTGTGTGTGTCTGGGTTCCTGCAGTACAAGCAGGTGGAGCAGTACATGTCGTTCCATAAGCTCCCCGCGGACGTCCGGCAGAAGATCCACGAGTACTACGAGCACCGCTTCCAGGGCAAGATGTTTGACGAGGAGAACATCCTGGGAGAGCTCAGCGAGCCGCTCAAAGAGGTAACGACTTCCCAACACCCACACGGTTAGAACCCGTCGGTTCTGTGCCAGAACCAACCCTTGGTCCTGCTGTTCCTCCAGGAGATCGTGAGCTTCAACTGCCGCAGCCTGGTGGCCAACATGCCGCTGTTCGCCAACGCCGACCCCAACTTTGTGACCGCCGTCCTGACCAAGCTGCGCTTCGAGGTGTTCCAGCCGTCGGACTTCATCATCCGGGAGGGAACCGTCGGGCGCAAGATGTACTTCATCCAGCACGGCCGGGTCAGCGTTCTGACCCGCGGGAACAAGGAGACCAAGCTGAGCGACGGCTCCTACTTTGGAGGTGAGAACATCTCAGGACTTGTTCCACCTCCAACCATCAGGTTCCTTCTGCTCCACCAGCTCTGGTTTACTTTAAAATCTGAATATTTAGACGGGAGCCTCAGAAAGCAAATGTTTTGAGATGATTTCTTTCTCAGATGTTCAAACAGCTGAAAACTTCCAAGTGAGTAAAAACCTGCTAAAGCGGGTCGACGGCAGATTTTAAAAAGTGTCTCTGAAGGCATCTGATGTCAGCTTAAATCTGCCTCGTCTCTACAAACATCCCTATTTTATGCTCTGAAGTTTTCAGGCAGACCAGAGAAAGTCGAGCAGAAGCTGTTTCATACGTCTGATGATCTGAGACGAGATGAGAAGGTTCTTATTGAGGAACACGGGAAGGTGCTTCATTCAGTTTCTGCTCTGGAGGTTCACATTCTGCTCTGCCGGTCTTCTGTTCTCCTGTTCTGCTCCTGTTCTCCTGCTGTTCTCCTGTTCTCTTCCTGTTCTCTTCCTTTTCTCCTCCTGTCCTCCTCCCGTTCTTCTGCTGTTCTCCTCCCGTTCTCCTCCCATTCACCTCCCGTTCTCCTCCTCTCCTCCTGTTCTCCTCCCGTTCTCCTCCCATTCTCCTCCCGTTCTCCTCCCGTTCTCCTGCTGTTCTCCTCCCGTTCTCCTCCCGTTCTCCTCCTCTCGTCCTGTTCTCCTCCTGTTCTCCTCCTGTCCTCCCGTTCTCCTCCCGTTCTCCTCCTGTCCTCCAGAGATCTGCCTGTTGACCCGTGGACGGAGAACGGCCAGCGTCCGAGCAGACACCTACTGCCGTCTGTACTCTCTCAGCGTGGACAGCTTCAACGAGGTTCTGGAGGAACATCCCATGATGCGACGGGCCTTCGAGACTGTCGCCGTGGACCGACTGGACCGGATCGGTAACTTGTCTAACTTCTTACCATCTGACCAGTTTACACTCGTTCAGAGCTGCAAGAATTAATGATCAGTTGTCAAATGTTGAATTTATGTTTTGTGGAAAAACAGTCCAACGTTCAGCATCTGTCCTCCTACATCTGAACATGTTCTGGTTTCCTTCATCCTCTGTGACAGAAAAGACGTTTGGACAAAATTTCTGTTTCAGAAATGTTAGAGACCAAACACCTGAACTATTAATCCAGAAACAATCCACAGACTGATGGATGCTGCAAATGATGATCCCTGGTGTCGGTAAAGTCAGAAACCAGAGAAGAACCATGACGTGAAGTTGAACCGGATCAGCTCCAATGAAGGATTCAGATGATTTAATGAGACGCATCTCCTTTAAACATCAACATAAGAAAAGTGATGTCAGAAAAACAGCCATAGAAAAACTGAGTGTTTGTCCAGTAAGGTGCAGCTCCACATGTTCTGGGATCATCTGAGACAAGCTGAGCGAAGCTAAAGCTGAAATAATGAACGCTCAGCAGTGAAGACCAGAAACACTTCCTGATCTTTTTGTTGTTCAGACATGTTGACGTTTTCCTTCTTTACTGGTTCAGGTTTTTGTGTTGAAGTCAGGAACCTGTTTGTTCATGCTGGATGTGTTTGTCGCCCCCTGCAGGCAGGAAGAACTCCGTGCTGCTGCGGAAGTCGTCTCAGGGCGGCTCTCTGGGCGGCAGCATGGGTCGAGGTGGAGGTCGGGGCGGAGGCGCAGGCGGCCTGGGATCCTGCGACAGCATGCTGGTGCAGCAGATCGTCAAACACGACAGCATGCCGGCCATGCAGGACGCCATCGCAGCCGCCGCCGCCGGTCGGAGCGGCGTGATGGGCGGCAGCGGCACGGTGTCCCCGCGGCCCCGCCCCGTCATCTGGGCGCCGCTGGTCCACGCGCCGCTGCAGACTGCAGCCGCCACCAGCAACGTGGCCATCGCCCTGATGCACCAGCAGCAGCAGCAGCAGCAGCAGCTGCAGCAGCTGCAGCAGCACGCTCTGGGCGGGGCCTTCTTCCTGCCCTCCCCCCTCATCTCCCCGTCGCCCTCCTCGTCCTTCCCCCTGTCGCCTCCCCGACCTCCGGTCCTGCAGCCGCTCCGGCCCTCCGTCAGCTCCCTCATCGGGATGATGGCCATGGGGGGGATGGGGGGCATGGCGGGGATGGGTGGCTTGTCTCCGAGGGGGGGCTTCCCCGCCTCCCCCTCCACGCTCGGGCCCCCCGCTGGGGTGACATCACCTCCTGTCGCTAAGACTCCGCCCACTCCGGCCTCCTCCGTCCCCACCTCTGTCCAGCAGGGCAGGACTCTGCATTATAGCCTCCGACTGCAGGCCGACCATCCCTCAGCCATCCCTGGATCTTTAGGAACCACGACAGCACCGGCTCCTCCGGCCCACAAAGCCCCGACCATGAACCCCCCGGCGGCGACCGGCGGCGCATCGGACGCCAGCACGACTGCAGCGACTCAGCAGGGAGCTAAAGAGGCTCTGCTGCGTCACGGAGGAAGCAGCTCTCAGGGCCTGCCGGCGCTCGGCCGACTGACCCAGGAGGCCCGGCTGCTGTCGGCGTCGCAGCCCACCCTGCCTCACCGCTCCTGGGCCGCCGTGCAGCCTCACCCGCCCCTCCACCGGAAGGCGTCCGGGGGAAACCTGCTGGCGGCGCCGTTCCTGGCGGGGCAGCTGGCCCGGGGAGTCAGTGCCGGGATGCTGAGCTCCAACCCTCCGGTGCAGCTGGTGACCAACGTCCCATTCAACCCTCAGACAGCAGCCTCCGTCCTGCCGGCTGCTGCCCCGCCTCACCTTCCTCCTGCAGCGCCCTCCTCCTCCTCCCCTCCCAAACAGACCCCTCTCTCCTCGGCCACTCCTTCCCCCTCCTCCCCCACACCAATCCTCGCCCAGACTCCTCGACCCAAACCGACCCCCATGACTCCCTCCAGCTCCTCCTCTCCTCCCCCCTGCTCCACCCCTCCATCGGCAGGAACCAGCCCTCTATCGCTTTCATCAACTCCTCGACCCAAACCGGCTCCTTCCCCTCGCTCCTCCTCTCCATCTCCATCCTCCACGCCGCCTCCATCGTCTGTTTCCACCCCCGTTCCTCTACCTCAGCCTTACGGGACCAAGACCTCCCTCACCTCCTCGTCTCCCCCTTCGTCTTTGCTGTCCTCCTCCCCTCCTCACCCGCAGAGCTCCCGGGCCAAAACATCCATCACGCCTCCTTCAGCTTCTCCACTGTCCGGCCCAAGTCCCACGTTGACCCTGATCCCGTCTCCGACTCCCACTCAGACCACCCGCACCAGAACTTCTACTCCCGCCCAGACTCCCACTCAGACCCTCACTCCAGTGACTCCCACCCTCACCCCTTTGCCTTCCCCGTCTCCCATCCCCGTTACTCCCATCCCCAAGAGTCCGACCCCTTGTCTCCAGCCGCCCAGAAGCTCCGCCTCCAGCCAGAAACAAACCCCCGCCAGCACCGGCACTCCGACTAAAGTAACTTTCTCGGTTCATCCGGTGAAGCAAACCTCCCCCGTCCTCACCCCGAGCCGCACCATCAAACCGACCGCCTCTTTAAGCCCGAACCAGAGCTCCACTAACCCGTCCACCACCACTGCCAGCTCTCCGAGCGTCCAATCCTCAAAACTCAACCCTCCTCCTGCCGCGGTCCAAACCTCTCAGGCATCCACCGCCACTGCCACCGTCGGATCCGCCCAATCAGCCGCCGCCACCTCCCCTAAAGGCGGGAAACAGGACCCTCAGCTCGCCAGAAAAGACTCGGAGGGTCTCAGACACAAACTTCCCGCCAACATGTGAGGCGGAGAAAAGGATTGCCAGACTTTGGACCGGTACATCTCGTGTGCGTTCACTCTAGGATGTGATTGTCTTAGAACATCAGGTGTTCATGTGACTCCTGTCCATCGATGAGACAGACTTTCTGAGTCTTCAAAAACATCCAAATGTAAACATACATATCTGTGTTAGTGATTGTTGGAGCAAGCAGAGGGCGGAGCTACGAAGCGAGACTAGTGTGTCAGCAGATCACGCTGAGCCTCAAGTCAGAGTTTTCAGTATCATGAAGGTGGCTCTCTTTCAACATGGCTAGATCACCATGGTAACTGTTGCCTCACAGCTAGATCACCATGGTAACTGTTGCCACACAGCTAGATCACCATGGTAACGGATGCTGCAGAGCTAGATCACCATGGTAACGGATGCTGCAGAGCTAGATCACCATGGTAACTTTTGCCACGCAGCTAGATCACCATGGTAACTGTTGCCACGCAGCTAGATCACCATGGTAACTGTTGCCACACAGCTAGATCACCATGGTAACGGAAGCTGCAGAGACAACCTGTTCAGAGTTTTGGGTTTTAATCGGCTGTATGAAGCGTCTCACTTTAACCAGATCATTTCCTGATGAGTCTTGTACAGTTTTACACACTGGAGGCATCGTGTTGCCATGGGAACCCACAGGCATTCAGCTGGTGATGCAGAAATCACTGAAATGTGTTTTCATGTTTGATCCTAAACGGCTGCCAGGTCTGTCTGTTGCTCATTCTAATTAATTTTACTTTATTTAGATGTAAATCCTGCGTTATGAGACAGTGCCAGACGTAGACGCTCTTCAATACAGCAGGTTAAATGTCTGAAAGTTTAACATCTCTAACGTGCAGCTGCATTGATCAGTAAATTAAATATATCAACAGTTTTCTACCAGAGTTCCTGTCCTGCGTCATCAGCAGCACTTTTTACCCTCATCATTCTTTAGATTTCTATTTTATGAAACGCTGGATGATTTAAACGTTTAAAGCATCTAGATGGTATTTCAGTAAACAGTCAGAGATTAAATTAATCTGAACTCCAGCCTGTGATGAAGAGTCACAGACTTTAATAACAAGAGGAAAACCCCAAATTATTCACAGTCGCACCAAAATGTACATTTATAGTGGATTCTTATTGGACCAGCAGGTTTCTTCTGACTGGAAAGGACACAAACAAAACACAGTAAAACCTTGTGTTAGAGGCGAGTTTTAACTTTTACAGTCTATTAAAAAGCCGTTATTTCCACAACATCAAACCGTGACTGACTGAGAACGACTGCATCAGCTGCTTCTGCTTTATCAGAACCACTGGGTCGTCTGGACCGGGATAAAAACGGGACGACTTCGGACATTTGGTAAAAATAAAACCTAGAAGTTATTCAAACACATCATCAGCATCTTTAACGCCGTGTTTTACTTTGTTTTGTTGCCTGTTTGTGTCAATTTGAGCCAAATGGTCAAATAAAACTTCACTAGAAATATAAATGTGGCACGAGGAGGAATAATAATGGATTTATACAAACAAGGAAACCTCTCAGAACTCGAGAAGGTCAGATACTGAGGTCCAGTTTACATCTTTAAAGATGCCAAGTCATGCAGGTTTTAACTGTGTGAACTAGTTTTTGGAAGTAAAACGTGACCAGATATGAAACAAGCAGCTGCACTTATCTGTTAAATGAACGTATCAGCAGCTTTCCTGCACGTTTTACAGCCGCACATTAAAACAACCTGTCGACTGAACTGAGCCACAAAAAACAAGAAACAAGCACTTCTGTTTACCAAGCTGCACACAGTCGGTCCGCTTTGTGCAGAAAACAGTCACATGACGCATTAAACACCAACTTTTTACAGAAACCCTGAGAACGTTTGCGTCCACCTTCTGGATACCTGCCGTCTCTGACTTTGGGTTTCAGTTTCTGTCGAGTTTCTGACACAAAGACTTTGTTCGTAGTTCAGCCCTGAGGGGAGCTGAAGTGGAAATATGCTGCAAATTACAAAACAAGAAGCAAACAGCAATACTGGTGAGCCTGGTGAAGATGATGATGATGAAGACACTTCCTGGTTTCCAGCTCAGACTCCCTCTTGCCTCCCGTTGATTCACCAAAGTGTGACATCCTCTCATCAGAATAGTGCTAATTATAGAAGCCGCTGTACGGTGACTCTGTTAGGAGCTGCTAGTCTCGTTGTTCCAGGTGTGTGGTGTTTTAGTTTTCGGAGGAGCTCTGACGCTCCCGTGACTCGTTTCTTTGGTGTGCTGGTTCCGTTTCCTCCTGTAAATACGAGCCTCTCCGTCGGTCTTTCATCCGTCTCGCTGCCTTTCATCTGGTTTCACGGCTCCACCTTTCTTTGACGCCAGCTTCCCTTTTCTCCGGGCGGCCGGCTCGGCCTCCGTCTGTGGCTCCATCCCCGTGGTGTTTGATGTTCTCTGTGGGTAGCAACAAGGCAGATCCGTCTTAAACCTGATACCATGTTGCCTAGACGATATATTTAAGGACCAAATGTTTTATTTTTTATTTATCACAGCTTTAGCTTTTGAAGCAGAACAACTAGCTGCTGGTGATTCCTGAGTGTGACGTGTGACGGCAGCGGCGGCGATGATGATGATGATGATGAAGGTGTATATCTGGATGTACGAATAAAGTGGGTTTAGATATTGTCCACTTGTCCTCGTGTGTTTTTTGTAACTGTGAGCTCATTGTGAAACCATGCAGTTATTCACGTCACATTTAGATGAAGGTGAAGTTTTCTGTGACCAGCAGCTTCCTTCTGACTGGAAACGACACAAACAAGAGACAAAAATATGAAATAAATACACAGAAATAGTCCAAATTCATTCAACACCATGTTTTCCTGTTTAGTCTCTTGTTTGTGTCGTTTCCAGTCAGAAGAAAGCTGCTGGTTAAATAAGAACTCTCTATAAATCTACATCTGGTTCATCTGATGCATAAGTTTCCCCAAAACGAGTCATTTTCATGCCAAAGTCTGTTTTATTATGATTTTTTTTTTTTCTCAAACAGGTGTTTTTGTTTTTTTTTTTTAGCTGGAAACGACACAACCACGTGACAAACAGAAAAACGTGTTAGAGACGATGACGAGGACAGATTCTGGATGGACTCAGCTTCTAAAGTAAAACACACAAAAACATCATTAACTTCTTTAATTGAATGTCTCCCTGCTGGTTAAATAAGAATTCACTCTAAATCTAGACGTGCTTTTTCTAGTTAGTTCATCTGATAAATTTAGATTTACAGTGAATTTTCATTTGTACAATAGTGAATTAGAACCTGGTAGAACCTGGTAGAACCCATCAGAAACACTAGGAATGAGATAGAAGCTGCATTTTATTAAAATAAATAAATGTCAGACTGCTTTCATGGGTATGAATAATTTCAGACATGACATCTGTGGGAATGATGTTGGAATAAAACATAGAAACAGATCAATTTGATGATGAACATTTTGATCACAGAGTCTCACTGAGTTCTGGTCACTTATTAATGTTATTTACAGCCAGAAAACATCCATCCATCATCTATACACCGCTAAATCCTCACCAGGGTCATGGGGGGCGGAGCCTATCCCAGCTGACTCAGGGTGAAGGCAGGTTCACCTGGACAGGTAACCAGTCTATCACAGGGCTACACTTAGAGACAGACAACCAAGCACACTCACATTCACACCTACGGACAATTTACAATCACCAATTAACCTCAGCATGTTTCTGGACTGTGGGAGGAAGCCGGAGAACCCGGAGAGAACCCACGCTGCACGGGGAGAACATGGAGACTCCACGCAGGAAGATCCCGGGTGTCCTCACCGGGACGCCAACCGGTGACCTTCTAGCTGTGAGGCCACGGTGCTAACCACTGATCCACCTGCAGCCCGCCAGAAAACATCCGCTGGTCAAATAAAAAAATCACTTTAAATCAGAATTTGGCACAAAAATGTGTCACATCAGGAAAAGCTCATTCTGGTTTACAGTGAATGTTTCTTCTGACTGGACCTGACAGTTAAACTGATGCTGGTCAGGACTCGGAGCTCCTTCTGTGTGTTCAGTTATAATTGTTGTCCACAGACAGTCTTCACCACCTCGAACACGTCTCACTGACATTAGTTGCTCGTTTGGATCGACTCCATCCAGACCTGCCGGTCCAGTCAGACTTTACTACAAACCGACTGATTCTGGACCAGCTGCTAAACGACCATCAGGCGTCTCCTCAATGATCCTGTAACTTTCTTCTCACTTTAACTGGATCACTGCAGCAGATTATCGGTGCACTGACGACTTGACTCGACCCCCGTGACTCCGATCTGGACTTGAACCTGGTGACTCCGATCTGGACTCGACCCCGGTGACTCAGGTCTGGACTTGACCCCGGTGACTCAGATCTGGACTTGACCCCGGTGACTCAGGTCTGGACTTGACCCCGGTGACTCAGGTCTGGACTCCTGCTGGTCTCTGAGGATCTGGATTCCTGCTGGTCTCTGAGGACCTGGACGCTGGGGGACTCAGGTGGAGCAGGAGAGCTTCTGAGGAGCCTCCAGACCCTAATCCTGCACCTCTCAGCAGCAGCAGCAGCTCCAAGGTCAAGCTTCTGAATGAGGGGACTCTTAAATCTCTGCTGCTGCTGCTGACCAGGACCTGAACCAGATCCGCCCTCATGAGGACGGATTAGGCTGCACCTGCCCTCTCTAACGTGTTCCTGTCGTTCGCCTGCAGCCCTCCGGCTCCTGAGGGCGTCCAGCAGAGAATTATTCTCACTGAGAGGCATTAGCAGACTGGATTTACACTCGCTCTGCGCCTGAAGAGCCCCGCTGAGCCCGACAGGCAGCACCAATGAGTCAGGAGACGTGGCTGTAAATATTTGAGGCTGCTCGGTTCTGCGGGCCAACACTTGTGCTGACACTTTAATGGAGCTGCGAGGCTGCAGGGGAGGGTTCTGCTCCTGCCACTAGATGGCGACGGCACGTCAGCAACCAGCTGAAGAGGAG